ACACACACACACACAATGTAAATTAAGAAACAATGCTTAAGTACTTATGAGACTAAGAAGACTAAGCAAGAAAAGAAATACGAGTTTCTTCCTGAGGTTCTACCATGACTGTGAAAGATACCAAACTTTCTACTGATTATCATATATATTTTATTAAAATTAAACATTTAAAATAAATACCAACTCCATAAAATGAGCATAAAATACAAACATTTAAACAGAGGAAACTTGGTAAAGAATGGCAGTGAACAGCAAGGCAGACATTCATTCATTCATTCATTCATCAGACAGTGTCTGTTTGGTGATGGCCCCAGTACTTCAATTATGATTTCAATACTAATTCTTTGTCATGTCTTCTTTTAGAAATAAAGATGAAAGTTCCAAAGGAAGAAAAAGAAGAGGAGAAGAATATGAAGATAAAGGAGCAGAACTAGCAGGGGAAAACAAAACAAAAAAACAAAAAAAAAGCAAACAAACAAAAAGACAAAACACTGGACAGGTCCAAAGATAAAGTTCTACTACAGTGGAGGAAATGCCCCAGTCAATTAAAAGGCAATTTTTCCCAAGGGACCTGCCTATCAATCATTCATCAGCAACATGGCTCCTGCTATTGAGACTGGGAAAGGGATTCTGACTATCAAAGTCAAAGAAAAGGCTAAGCAATAAGTGTTTGATTATCTTTAAATGTAATCTAGTGCATTCCCAAAGAGATTCCAGGAAAGTGTAGCTTAAATTAATAAGGGAAACTAACCTCGCTGGGAGCCTGGGAAACTCCAGGCAAATCCTTAGCTTTATTTCTAAGAGTTTGTATTCATCAATAAGATTATTAAAAAACCATCCTCTTATCCACTGTCAGCAGATTTGAGCACTTGCTATTTCTTTTAAATGTCTGCAGTAGATAATTTTTCTCTTCTTTCCTGATGAGGTTTCCTTGTTCCACTTTGGTAAACTTGATTTTAATGCTACTGTGATTTACTGTCTTTTCTGCTTACATTTTTGTGGTATGTAATTTCTGGCAAAACACTTCAGTCAAATGTCCAAAGTAGACTCTTCTGTCATCTTACTTCTTATGTATAGTGAAAGGGTGTGAAATTTTTAATAAAATAGGTCATAAATCAAGTGCTTTCTGTTTAAATAAGGATGTTGAGTCATTCAATCTAGCACCTAACGTTGACACAGGCTGATGTCATGGAACCATCTAATAAGAACTCTGATTCTCACTCAAGGCCAATGTCAGTTAGCAAGATTAGCAAGCATATAGACAAAAGATGAAATCAAAAGCAAAGTTCCCTCACTATCAACTGTGCCCCAGCCTCTTTGAGCCTCACCCCTGTGACACGTTGCTGACTGATGGTATCCTTTTCAATCAGCCTATAGCAAGAAAGAAAACTTGATCCAAAACACATTACAATTTAACAAAATAATGGGACATTAACCTATTTATCCAGAATAAGACCCCATACAGATAGCACATGAGATAAAGTATAAGTCTCTCTTAACTATTATAAAAAGAAGTCTCACTCCCTTATAGAGTCACAATCCTTTCACATTTTAAGAAATTGTCACTTGGACTTTATATTCCCTTCACTGATTCTTTTTATTTGCCTAAGTCACTAGCCTTGCAGATGCCATTTCCTGTGGCAAAAACCAGTTGTAGCATCACATTATGGCAAAATCAGATTGCAGCAACATGCTGGAAAAAGAGGATCCGTTTCCAAATAAAATTTAATGTTTTCCCTCATACTAACTTAAAGGACATCAGACTAACTCTGCTGGCCCAACAGATGCAGAACAGAGTCAGACTGTCTCTATTTTAATACAGGCTAATGTGACATTTTCCAGAATCGGCCTTAAACATCTGTTTCCTTCAAAAATGGTGGTACCAGATAGGAACTTCTATTGTTTAAAGCTTTAGGATAAAGTGATAAGATTAGGAATGCATACTGTATACATCAGATCCACAGCTCCTCATAGTTATCAGGACTACATGTACAACAGTTTACAAAACCTTCAAACTAGTTACGTGCACTTCAGGAAGTTGTCCTGAGGCTTCACTTAGCACTGAGACAATTACCAAAGTTGCATGCTGGGAAGAGGCCAAAACTCATAGGCTGGTATTGAAAGTAGTCACACACACAAAATTTCCTTCTAATGAGTGTCATTAGGATATAATGTTGAATTTTATGTAATGTGGCTGTTTCCAAGTCCCAGAAAGAAAGCTATTATAATAGCACATTGGGAAGAGGATTTTAATAAATTATATTTACTCAAAACTGTACAACATGGATGCATTTAACATGTTTTGTGAAAATCAGAAATTGTTTTTTAAACGGTATTGTTTGATAGAGTTACCATTTAAGTTTTAGAAAAGGTTGGTTGATACTTTTCATAATTGGAAAGAATATGGTCAAATTTTAAATAACAGTTAATATCATGAACAACAGATCCTGGAAAGAAACTTCACCTATAAAAGCTAAATGACTGACTAGCAATTCAATAATTGTGTAGGGGTTAAAATGGTGCACATCCAGATCTTAATTACAAACTATCTGAGCTACCTTACCCTCCATGGTGCCCATTCACTACCCATCTCTGGGCCTGACCTAATGTCCTTATGAATATTACATAAATCCCTTTGGCATATATGAACAGGTTCCTTTGACTTCCACAAGCCCCAAAACTAAGAATGTCATTTGATAGTACCTAGAAACTTCATCAGAGATGTCCCTCTTCTGTTTTAATTAATGTACCTTATATACTTGGTAATGTATATGAGAAGCATGTTGATTTACAACTTTCTTTGTTCTGTCACTATAAAAATTTCATAAACTGCTGCCACTTTGGAAAATAGAATTTGAGGTGACCTATACCTGTGGTCTGAGACCTTGTATTTCCCTCCAGAATAAATCCATCTCTTACCCTTTTAACACAAGACTTGTGTTTTTGCATTGACAATATGTAGGTGTTAGGGTATGTAAAAGTGATATCAGAAGGAAATAGTCTGATAACAAAAAAAGAAAAAAGTGGGGAAATTACATATACTTTAGTGCTGACTTTTTCAAATGAAAGTTTAAATACTTCATTGCAACTTATGCTCCTAATTTGTGCACACCTTTAATCCCAGCACTCAGGAGGCCAGCCTGGGGTACACAGCAAGTTCTAGGACATCAAGGGCTGTTACACAGAGAAACCTTGTGTTCTCTGATACTCTCTAAGCCTTGTAAGAGATGGTATAGACATCCTGTTTAAGGATAACCATTCAACAGTCATTGATTCTCAGTTTTGATCAAAGCTGAGCATAATAGTGATCGGTAACTCCCATAACAGGCTTGCCATAGTTGCACCAGTGGGCACGTGCTTCCTGGCCAGTTGTTAGTATAGCATGCATCGTTCACAGTAACACTGGTGATGGAGATTCTAATCCAGTAGCTTGCTTAGCAATTTCAGACACTATGAGAGTTAGCAATCATGGAAGAAGCTTCTCTTTCAGTTCCAACCTGATTTCTCTATGTTCTAAGATCAGAGCATACAGTGTTCTTTTGGAACAATAACCACAATGGCAATTAACTGGACAGCTTCAGGAGCCTCAAGGGTTGCCTGATCAAAACTGGTAGAAAGTAGCCCATCCTGCCACTGAAACTTTCATGTGATAAGGCCATTAAAAAAAAAAAAAGTGTATCAAGAGGAAGAACACTGGATGATATTGCAGGTCTGAATTATACCCCTGAACTGCCCAAAACTCCAGCTCACACAAGAATTAAACACACTGCATTGGGATTCAGCCACCAAAACATGTGCAAGGAATGTAGACTTTAAGAATATATGGACCTCAGCTATATAATGAGATGAACTGACAAGCCATCTAGTTCACTACAAAAATTTCAGTTCCAAAACTGATTCTAGAGCCACCCGATTTAGCACTTTGAAGGCCACACCATAAATCCCACACTCAACTTGACCAAGAGTCAAAATGCAGACACCCAAATATTTTTCTTTCTTTAACACTAACCCACATGCCTGTATTTTCTGAACACCTGTGGTCTGTGTTCATTAATCATTCATCTAATTAACAAGTAGTTTGCTGACTCACTGGATATCTGAAGATATATGAACATATAGCTATATGATAGGCCTTTCCCCCTGCACCCAGACCTGACCTCAGTAAGTATAATACAGAATGGGCTAGTTAACTGAAACTGACAGAAAGATTTTCAGAGAGAAATGAAAGCAATGATGCCCTTAGCAGATTTTAAGCATGAGAAGACTACAGAGGCAAAATTATAATTTTTTTAAAAAAGTTTTAGACTTATTTTATTCGTATGTATGTATGTGTTTCTGAGTGTATGTATGTTGTGGATAGCCCCAGCCTTGTATTTTGATACTAATTCTCCTTTCCTGTGAAGGGCTGCAGAGGAGGTGTGGAGGGCTGTGGGGGAGGTGATTTCTAGTGAACCTTCTGCCCATCTTAATTTGTAAAATAAAGGCTGGAGCCAGTGATTGGGCAGAGGAAGGGGAGGTGGAGAAATAAAGGCTGGGGAGAGAAGAGAGACAGGGGGAGGATCACTGGAGAAAGACAATGGAGGACGGAGATAACAGAGACAACAAAGATGACGGACGACGACTGGGGAGAAGAGAGGAGAGAGAAGACAACAGAGGAGGACGACTGGGAAGCAGGAGGTAGAAGGACAAACACAGGGTCTGGAAAATGCTCAAGTTATAAGGGTCTCATAGCTGGGGAACAAAGTAGTGCAGGAGTATCTGCCCAATTTAAGCTTACAGATTATATTCATAATTACTGAGTCGTGTTTTCATTGACTGGTCCTAATTGGGTTGGAGATTTAAATATCTCCCACAACATATCTATGTATACTATGTGCATGTAGATGCCCATGGAAGTCAGAAGAGTGTCAAATGCCCTGGAATTGGAGTAGCAGGCAGGAATGATGCTGGTGATAGTACTAGAACCCCTGAAAGAACAGCAAGTGTTCTTATTGCTGAGCCCCATATCTCCAGCCCCTATACTTTTCTTTTTCATTTACTTTGAATACAAATATCTATTTCAACAAGCAATTTTCTTTGATTTACAGATGCTACTTTCATGTTCTATATACAAACTTATAATAGTTATCTCTGATATTATGTTCATCTGCACCCTTTAATGACATAGCATAATCTATAAACTGTTTTCTAGCCTTTGGCAACACCCAGCTCAAGGCTAGGGATGTAAATCAGTAGTTGTGTGTTTGCCCAGCCTGAGTAAGGCCCTGGGTTCGATCCCCAGAACATCATAAAAATCCTCACTCTACCTTATGTTGTCATGTCTTTAATCACTTTCGATGATTCATCCATCCCACCTTAGGCTTAAGAGAATTGGCTGGGGTGGGCTGGACTAGAACCATTTCAGGTGAGAGGGCTTCATTTCTAATCCAAGCAGATTCTCATTTATTCTCCAAAAGGTTGCCCTTGGCTTGGCAGGTGTACAGGGCCCCAAAGACACAAAGAAAGCAGAAATGAGAACAGTCTAGAGCCTGCACTCACAGTTGGTACATCAATCCCTCTACCACATTGTAGGGTAGTAAGTCACTGGTGTAGGTCAAAAATTGAGCTCAGATTCAAGAAGGTGAAAATAATAATGACTTCCTTTTTAGGAGTATTGAAGAGTCCCA